TCGCTCCGGCATTCTCGCTGGATTCTGTCGCGAACAGGGCATTCGTCAGTCCTGGACGCTTCCGGAGTCCCCACAGCAGAATGGGGTTGCTGAGCGTCGCATAGGCCTGGTCATGGAGATTGCCCGCACCTCCTTGACTCACGCCCGTGCCCCCCATTTCCTGTGGCCATACGCAGTCAGGTACGCCGCGCACCAGCTGAACCTCTGGCCACGCGTCTCTCGGCCGGAGGCTTCACCGACCAGTCTTTGGACAGGGTCCCCTGGTGTCGCGTCGAGGTTTCGTGTCTGGGGGTGCTTGGCTCTTGTCCGCGACACCTCCGCGGACAAGCTCTCGCCTCGCGCCGTTTCTTGTGTCTTCCTTGGTTTCCCTGAGGACTCCTCTGACTTCACCTTTTACCACCCTCCCTCTCACCGGTTCTTTGACTCCCGTGACGTCCGTTTCGAGGAGTCCACCCCCTACTACGTCAGGTACCCCAGTCGAGGTCTGCCGTCTCCTCCTCCTGTCTCGGGTCTTCGGACCCTTGGTCTCCCCTCTCCCTCTCCTTCCTCCTCCCCCTCTCCTCCCGTCTCTGGTCCTTCGCTTCCTCCTCCTGACCCCTCTCCCGCTGTTTTCCCTCGTTCTCAGTCTTCGTTGTCCCCTCCTTCTTCTCAGACTTGGGCCTCTCGTCGCTCCCCTCGTGCTCGTCCCTCGTCTCCTGTTCCCTTCACTGACCTTCGTACTGCCTTACTTCGTTCTAGTCCACCTCGTCCGTCTCCGTCTGTGCTTCCGTCTCCTCCTGAGTCGGCTCTCACTGCGTCGCTCCCTACTCCTGTCACAGACTACTACCGCACGTACCGTCCTCTTCTCTCTCGTGTTCTCGCCTCGCTTGTTACTCACCCTCGTGCCTCTGTGTCCTCTGTGTCCGCTCTTACTGCCGCAGTCACTGACTTTGCCTCTACCCGCCGCCTTGACTTCGCCACCGCTCTTGTGGCTGCTCCTCCTTCCAGTCCTCTGGCCGTCGGGGGTGTGTCTGCCCTTGGCTGTGACGCCCTAGAGGACAGGCAGTTTGAGCTAGAGTTCCTGGCGGCCGCTTCCCCTCATCTCTGTGCCATGCTCCTCGCCCCTGAGGGTGACCCCGACGCCCTTGACATTCCGACTCCTCGCACTTACGCTGAGGCAGTGTCAGGGCCTTGGGCCTCTCAGTGGAGAGCTGCCATGGACGCAGAGATGGCCTCCTACAGATCCACAGGCACCTACGTTGATGAGGTTCCCCCTCCGGGGGCGAACGTAGTCGACGGCATGTGGATCTACAGGGTGAAGCGGCCACCGGGATCTCCTCCGGTCTTCAAGGCGCGCTACGTGGCTAGAGGTTTCAGTCAGCGCGAGGGAGTTGACTTCTTTCAGACCTTCGCGCCCACCCCGAAGATGACCACTCTTCGGGTGTTACTACACGTAGCAGCACAGAGAGACTACGAGTTACACTCTCTTGACTTCTCTACTGCTTTCCTTCAGGGCAGTCTTCACGAGGAGGTCTGGTTGCGTCGTCCCTCTGCCTTCACTGGCTCTTTCCCTCCTGGGACCCAGTGGAGGCTGAGGCGACCGGTTTACGGTCTTCGTCAGGCTCCTCGTGAGTGGCACGACACCCTGCGTTCTACCCTGTCTGACCTTGGGTTCCAGCCGTCTTCTGCTGACCCGTCGCTGTTCGTTCGTCGTGGCCCCACACCTTTCTTTGTTCTGGTCTACGTTGACGACCTTGTTTTTGCCACCCCTGACAGGGTTGCTTTGGCACACATGAAGTCCGAACTGCAGAAGAGACACACCTGCACTGATCTTGGTGAGCTGCGCCACTACCTTGGCCTGCAGATCACCAGGGACAGAGCTGCTCGCACCATTACACTTTCACAGTCGCACATGGTGCAGCAGGTCCTTCAGCGGTTCGGGCTTCAGCACTCCACAGTATAGCGCACACCTCTTGCTGTTGACCACAGACTCACTGGACCCTTTCCTGACGAGCCGTTCGAGCCTAGTGGTCCCTACGCAGAGCTTGTGGGTTGCCTCATGTACCTGATGACTTGTACTCGCCCGGACCTCGCCTTCCCTCTCAGCGTTCTTGCGCGCTTTGTTGCGCCAGGGAGACACCGTCCTGTTCACTGGACAGCAGCTGTGAGGGTGGCGAAGTACCTAGCGACGACGTCAGGCGTGGGGCTAGTTCTTGGAGGGCAGCAGTCTGTCGTACTTACTGGTCACTGTGACTCCTCTTACGCTGACGACGCTGAGACTCACAGGTCTACTCAGGGGTACTGTTTCAGCCTGGGTTCTGGAGCTGTTTCCTGGCGGTCCACGCGCTCCTCTTCGGTCTCGACCTCTACAGCTGAGGCTGAGATCTACGCTGGTGCCATGGCGGCACAGGAGCTGCGTTGGTTGACCTTCTTGCTCACCGACCTTGGTGAGCGGCCGAGCTCTGCACCGACCTTGTTCACTGACAACAAGGCGTCTATTCTCCTTTGTCGAGAGCCACGACTGGAGAGCAGAGTGAAGCACATTCACGTCAGGTACTTTCTTCTGCGAGAGTTGCAGAGGCGTGGACAGGCTCGCTTTGAGTTTGTGGAGTCCGAGGCCAACACTGCAGACATCTTCACCAAGGCGCTTCCGCCTTGTGACCACCAGAGGTGCTGTGTGCAGTTAGGCCTTGTTGACACTGGTTCTCGTGTTGCTTAGGCTTGAGTGTACTGTTTACTTTGCTTTCTATATACCTCTGTTACTTCTTGGACTGGCCTTGTGGCCACTGTTGTTTGTGCTCAGACTGTGTGGTGACGTTGTGATCCACCCTGAGCTTCGTTTCTTGGATTGTGACCGTACTCGTTTGGTTCTGCTAGACACCCCTCACTTAGGCTATGGGGGTGTGTCAAATGTTGTAGCCTATAGTGAGGTTTGTCTTAGGGGGTACAAAACTTAGGGTTAGCTATATGTACCCCAACCAACATCAATGCATCATCCATTCCTCATTCTGACAGGTTGTGCAATAGGGGGTACAAACAGTTAGGGTTTGAATATGTACCCCAATCTGTCTAATGCAACTCATTTCGCTGTAGCCACATTCTGAGAGTTTAATGGGCCTAAATCTGTTTTCACACTCTTACAATGATAGAAAAACACATGAAAACACATCAAATTTCAGATAGAAAAAGGGGGTGTACACGTTTGGGGGAGGGTCTTGTAATGTTTACCTCTCTAGCGGGGGGTATAGTGGAAACCTGCCAAAATAAAAGACCCACCCCCGTATTACACCCCCGGGGTCCTGTATTCCGGGGGGTCTTATATCCAGGAGAATACGGTAGTATGTTTAGTACGAGTCGTGTAATTTATGTAATAAGAAAGTGTTTGTGAGCAAAAGATTGCGCTCTAATGGACTACCACAGCACTTTGACAGATTTATCCCGTCAGCCAGCACACGGTAGCACCGAGATTCTCTTGATAAAAGAACGTACGACCTTAGCAAAGGAAATCATATCTTAGCAACCGGGGCCTTTCTACCGTATATACGCATTTGCAACACGATAAAAGCCATGTACCGTACGTATGGTTCTACATACCGTACAGAGGAAGGTACTGTGTCAGAATGTGATGTTTGTCTAGCCTGCAGTGGGGTACTCTATAGCGAGTACAGCCCAATTAGGATTTCCTATATGTACTCAATTGACTGCTAGTGCAAAACCATCTTTCGTGTTTCTGATTCTCGCCTAGCTTTCTTGACATACTGGACCGGTACCATAAACATAGCAGTGCTACCGAAGTCCCAATTGATGGCCTTTGAGACAGTCACAGTGTTTGTATAATGCATGGAGTCTTCTTGTCCTCTCAAGCTCAGCCACTACCACACCACACCGCACCACACACGGCAAGCTGGGAGATGGTTTGTGATATGGTGTATTATAAGCCATGAAGGAAATGCGAAGAGTGCAAGTGAGCAGCATGTGCGCTTGTTTAATGCAATGCAACGGTGTGCTGCCTTCAGTCAGCTAGCACATCGAATCAACTTTGTGAAAATGTAACGAGGAGCTTAAAGCCGCTGATATATCCACTTCCATCAGGGACGCATGGGCACGAGGTGGAGCGCTCTTGCTGCATCACGCCTTGCTCCTGTCCACAGTGCAGCCCGCATTTGTTGCACCCATGTGCCCATGTGCCCATGTGCCCATGTGCCCGTGAGTCTGTGTGCCCATATCCCCATCTGTCCATGTGTCCATGTATCCGTGCGTGCAGCATGGCCCCTGCCATAATGCGCCTGAGACACACGACACGTGCAGACTGCAGCACGCATGTCCAACCAGGGCGGTGGCAGTTGATGGCATAAGAAGCTCATTTGTCACTTCAGAAACTGGCACCCCATGACGTCAGCTGCCAATGTATGGCTCACCATGCGTCAGCTGCCATGGCTCCCGATGACGTCAGCTGCCAGTGTGTGGCTCCCGATGACGTCAGCTGCCAGTGTGTGGCTCCCCATGACGTCAGCTGCCAGTGCGTGGCTCCCCATGACGTCGCTGCCAGCGTATGGCTTCCATGACGTCAGCTGCTAGTGCATGGCTCCCCATGACGTCAGCTGCCAGTGTATGGCTCTTCATGATGTCAGCTGCCAGTGTATGGCACCCCATGACGTCAGCTGCCAGCGTATGGCCCCCCATGACGTCAACTGCCACCGCTCTGGTTGCACACCAGGCGACGTCTGGCTTCCTTCCCCTTCTGCTCGCGCATGCCTGCTTCGCACACCCCTGGTCGCACAAACCTGGTCGCACAGCCCTGGTCGCACAGCCCTGGCCGCCTTACGTGGGCCTCTCATCAGCAGCAGCCCTGTGGTGAAGTGAAAGACCGTCTGATACATTCCTGGCCAAGCCTGCTCTGCTGCTCCCTTAACGAGCCACAGCACGTCGCGTGCGCCTCTGCTGCGCTGCTGTGCGCACCACATGTCATGTGCGGTAGTGAGCGCTTCGGCTTCAATTCTATGAGGGCGGTGCTATTTGCCTCAGCCAGTTTCCAGTGCCACGTCATCTTTGCGTGGCTCTAGTGACGTGCGGCACACGGGGCAGGTGGTGTGCGAGAGGAGCCAGCAATCGATGCACGCCACGTGGAAGAGATGCGCGCACGGCAGCAGGCACCGCAGCTGATCGCCGTCCGCGAAGTCGCTCAGACACACCGCGCACTCCGTTGCGACCCCTTCGTCGCACTCCGTCGCACATCCCTCGTCGCATTCCGTCGCACCCCGCTCGTCGCACTCTGCGCTGTTCACTGTTCCTTCCCCGCCTGCCACGCCAGGCACCATCGCCTCCGTCCTTTCCGGTCCTCCCGTCGGCACAATCTTCACCTCAGTGCCCAGCAGCCCTCCACGCGCCCCACTCCCTCGACGCACACCCCTTTTTTCTCCATTCCGCTCCCCCACGTTTCTGACCGCTTTTGCGTTTTCCTTGTTTTCCGCTCGTGACTCTGATCCGTCGCATGCTTCCGCTTTTCCCGCTATCCCACTTTCTGCGAGTTCACCGACCGAGTTACCAATCTCTTCGTTCTTGCTATAACAGCCGGCAGGCGCTTCGCCCCGCGGCAGCGCGTACCGCACGGTCTGAAAGCTCTCAACGCTGCTGCCGCGCCCCTCCGTGCCGCTCTCCCGCTTGCAGCCGGCGCCGGCTCTTCTGCTGCTGCCGCCCCCCGAGAGCCCTCGAAAGGTCACCACGGGAAATGTCGCCAATGTCGCAGAATCTAGCCCGCGACTCTTCTCGTCGCCTTGCGACGTCGCCGTGCGACCGCCCGCAAGCCCATCGGGAAGGTCCGCATCGTGGACGAGAATAACGAGGAGGCTACTAGGGAGGACGGATGCGAGAACGCGCGGGCAGCGCAGCAGGAGCGAGACGAGGAGGCCGACGGCGAAGAAGGCGAGCATGCACGCCGCCGTGCCCGCGATGAACGGCGCCAACCCCGCCACGTCCATGCCGCCGTAGCTTGTAGGCGCCGACACGCTGGGCGGCACGCTGGGCGGCACGCTGGGAGGTTGCGCTGGCGGCGGCAGCGATTGGGTCTGCGGCGGCGGTTGGCTGGCCAGGGTGGGCTGCTGCGAGGGAGGTTTCGAGAGCATTTGGGGGTGTGGGGGATGGTGCGAGGGATGAGGAGGTTGGTGAGGTTGCGTCAGAGGCGGCGACAAGGGCGGGGCGACGAGAGACGAGAGTAAGCGTGCCATGATGCATTCGTAAGCTCGTTTCGGACAACTTTTAGCAAACTAGGTGATCGACAAGGGCATGCATACACTGAGTAGTAGCTGTTGGTTGAATGAAAAGATGTTGAGGGTGAGTACTGGCAATCCCGTGCAGGGTGAAGGAAAGGAAACCATTGTTGTGGGTGGTGCTTGGCTTGGCCTGCCTTGCTGGCAGCCCTTCTGCCTGTGATGCCGAGGTGCCAACATTGCTTTGGCTGCTGCCTGCTAGATAGCCGAATCGCATTGGGTGCAAATGTGGGAAGAAATGTGGCGCGAAAATTTCATGGCAATGCGCTGTCCTCGTTTGCGATAGCGACTCGAGAAATGGATGTCAAGCCCCGATATCATCATGCTTCCAAATTAGTTTTCTTCGAATTGAATCGAAGTTGTGTAGTTCTCTATGATTTGCTAAAAGAGGATTGCAATCACTGAGTTCGAGAAACTCCTATCCACTGTCGTAAATTTCATCAATTACGCATCCCGAAACAGCACTCAAAACTAGGAGTCCATTTACCCCTCTCCGCGTTCTGCGCGGCTCGTACGCAAAGTGCGGCGGACCAGCGAAACGTGTTTAACTAGCTTTTCGCACCGCCGTCCTCCGCCGCCCCCACTTTCGCTCGTCTCACCGCCGCAACCACATGCCGCCATGCGTTGCCGTTCACTGCCACCCAGCGGCGCGCGGCATTGGCGCCTACAGCCGCCCGACAAGCACGACCCGTGCCGACCATTCAGCCCCCACGCCGTTCCGGCCGGCGCGCGCTAGAGCTCGCGATCCCGCTGGAGTGCGGGCGCGCCCCGCCTCGTGCGCGAGTGCCCGCTCGAAGGCTGGCTGCTTGGGGCAAGGCAGGCGCAGTAGCGCGCGCAGAGTGTGCTCGCCGCGCGTGCAGGCGGACGATGCGGCGGAGAGAGCAAGTGAGTGGCGGATAAAAGAGAGACAGAGAGGCGTGAAAGGAGAGGCGTGAAAAGGAGAGGCGTGAGGAGGAGAGGCGTGAGGAGGAGAGGCGTGAGGAGTGGCGCGAGGAAGAGTGGCGTGAGGAGGAGTGGCGTGAGAAGGAGGAGAGGCGTGAGGAGGATCGGCGTTAGGAGGAGGCGTTGTGCGTGTGACTCGAAGCCAATCATGGATATATCTCCCTCTTTGTGTGCCCTCTGCCTGTGCGCCCTCTGCCTGTGCGCCCTCTTCTTGTGCGCCTTTGCTTGGCCCCACCGCACCACAGCAGCAGCAGAGGCGGACCCGTTGGAGCAGTTTGCACGCATCGACCACGGCAGGCAGGCGCGCACCGGCATGCCCGAGGTCAGGTGATGCGCGAGGTCAGGTGATGCCTGGCGAGGGGGTGTCTGGGTGAGGGGGGTTTCGGGTCAGGTGCTGCCCGGTTCAGGGGGTGACTGGGTCAGTGGTGGGCCTGCTAACAACCAATGTGCACCACTTCTCCGTTTCTCATGCACCCTCACTGCTTTCCCCCCACTCCCCCACTCCTCATGTAACCGCATCGCCCTCTTCTCCACCCTTCCCTCATCCCACGCCCCAACACCTCGCCCCCTGGTGGCAGGTGGTGTACGGGCAGGGCAAGACAGCGCAGCAGATAGCCGCTATCCTCAGCTCCCAACTTCCTCGCACAACCTCCCTCGTCCCGTCCCCTCCCTTCCTTCCACTCCTCCCTTACTCCGCCCCCAACCCCCAACACCCCACCCCCTAAGGGCAGGTGGTGTACGGGCAGGGCAAGACGCCACAGCAGATAGCCACTATCCCGTCAGCTCCCAACTTCCTCAAACAACCGCATTCGTCTCCTCCCGTTCCTCGGTACCTCGACCCTCCTCACGTTACCCCCCTGGTGGCAGGTGGTGTACGGGCAGGGCAAGACGCCACAGCAGATAGCCGCCATCCTCACGGCCATGGGGGAGAGGGCCGGCCAGTCAGGGGGTCAGGGGGGCGGGCAGAGGGTTGTCATGGCCACCAGGGTTGATGCTGAGGCTGCACAGCAGGTGCGGTGGGATGGTTAAGTGTGGTGGGATGGTTAAGTGCGGTGGGATGGTTAAGTGTGGTGGGATGGTTAAGTGTGGTGGGATGGTTAAGTGTGGTGGGATGGTTAAGTGTGGTGGGATGGTTAAGTGTGGTGGGATGGTTAAGTGTGGTGGGATGGTTAAGTGTGGTGGGATGGTTAAGTGTGGTGGGATGGTTAAGTGTGGTGGGATGGTTAAGTGCGGTGGGATGGTTAAGTGTGATGGGATGTTAGGTGCGGTGATGGGCTTTGGAGTGCGTGTTGCGGCACTGTGAGGGTTCAGGAGGCTTGAAGACCCCTCCCATTGCCCGTGAGTGGGCAAGGGCAGCGCATTGCTCTTGACAGTGTCCCCTGCCTGGCCCCCTTCTCCTTATCGCCTGCTCTTGCATGCTGCAGCACTGCAGCATGGCAGCACGCTCCCACTCTCACACAGCAGCACCTGCCATTTCAAGTCAACAATCTGCCCAACCCGCCGATTTGTCGTGCGAATTCGCAAGTCGTGCCTTCTCACATGGTGCCTTCTCACATGGTGCCTTCTCACATCACATGGTGCCGGCTCTGCTCCCCTCATGTGCGTCCCTTCCCCCACCAGGTGTGTGCGCTGCTGCCTTCCGCCATCTACCACCCACTGGCCCGCGTGCTGCACCTGCCACTGCCCCTGCCGCCCGCAGGAGGCGCAGAGGCGAGTGAGGCTGGCGAGAGTGAGAGTGGTGCTGGTAGTGCTGCTGAGAACGTGGGTGACAGTGGTGGAGGGAGAGAGGGGGCGAGCGGGCATGTGATGGTGGTGACTGCTGGCACCACAGACCTTCCCGTGGCCGAGGTGAGGTGCGTGGAAGCATGCCGAGGATGGGGGTGTAAAGAGCTGTGATAGTGGGAGGTTGAGGGCTGGGGGGCATGTGGTGGTGGGAGAGTGAGGGCGAGTGATGGTGGTGACTGCCGGCACCACTGACCTTCCCGTGGCTGAGGTGAGGTGCGTGGAGGAGTGTGGGGAGGATTGTAGGGAGGAGAGAGGAACAGAATACAAGAGAGAAGTGAGGAGAGAAGAGAGGACAGGCGTGAGGTGGAAGATGAGTGGAGAAGCATAGGCAGGAGTAGAAATACGCGAGTCGTGGTTCCTAAGGAACGCGTTTTGCTCATCTGATATTCTCACCCGCCCTGCCATTATCGCCCAGCAACACCATGACTGCGTCCCTGCATGCCTGCATGCATGCATGCGTGCTCATGTGCGTCCTTGCATGCATGCATGCGTGCTCATGTGCGTCCTTGCATGCATGCATGCGTGCTCATGTGCGTCCTTGCATGCGTGCATGCGTGTCATGTGCGTCCTTGCATGCATGCATGCGTGCTCATGTGCGTCCTTGCATGCATGCATGCGTGTCATGTGCGTCCTTGCATGCATGCATGCGTGCTCATGTGCGTCCTTGCATGCATGCATGCGTGTCATGTGCGTGCCCTTATGCGTCCCTGTGAGCATATCAGGAGGCGAGGGTGACTCTGGAGCTCATGGGGGTGCCGGTGAGCCTCATCGCCGATGTGGGCGTGGCAGGGCTGCACCGCGTCATCACCCAGGCATGTCATGCACGCCCCACCTCCTTTCTCACCCAGGCACGTGCCACCCCCTGCTCACCCAGGCACGTGCCACTCCCTGCTCACCCTGGCATGTCCACCCCCTGCTCCCTGCCCCCTGCTCCCTGCTCCCTGCTCTCTGCTCTCTGCTCCCTGCTCTCTGCTCTCTGCTCCCTGCTCTCTTCTCTCTTCTCTCTGCTCTCTGCTCTCTTCTCTCTGATCTCTGCTCTCTTCTCTCTGCTCTCCGCTCTCTGCTCTCTTCTCTCTGCTCTCTGCTCACTTCTGCTCTCTGCCCCACCACTGCCCTTTGCTGCCCTCCGCTGCCCTCTGCTGTCCAATGTTGCTCTGTGCTCCCCGGTGACCCTCGCTGCCCCTCTTTGCCACCATGTGCTGCTGTGCTGCTGTGCACTGATTATGTGCTGCTGTGCTGCTGTGTATCTGAGTATTTGATCAGACACCATGAGACTAGATACTCGATAACCACTCAAGTGAGATATCCAAATTCGTATTTACACCTCTACTTTCCATCTTCAAGCATGCCCCCACTCTGCCCTCTCTGCCTCTGCCTTCTTTCCATCTGCTTGTGCAACTCTTTCGTGGGTAACAACTTAACCTCCTGTCAATGCCCCATGCACGAACACCCCATGCATGAACACCCCATGCATACACACCCCATGCACGAACACCAATGCACGAACACCCCATGCATGAACACCCCATGCATGAACACCCCATGCACGAACACCCCATGCACGAACACCTTATGCATGAACACCCCATGCATGAACACCCCATGCATGGACACCCCATGCATGAACACCCCATGCATGAACACCGCATGCATGAACACCGCATGCATGAACACCCCATGCATGATCACCCCATGCATGAACACCCCATGCATGAACACCGCATGCATGAACACCCCATGCATGAACACCGCATGCATGAATACCGCATGCATGAACACCGCATGCATGAACACTGCATGCATGAACACCCCATGCATGAACACCCCATCCATGAACACCCCATGCATGAACACCCCATGCATGAACACCGCATGCATGAACACCGCATGCATGAACACCGCATGCATGAACACCCCATGCATGAACACCCCATGCATGAACACCGCATGCATGAACACCGCATGCATGAACACCCCATGCATGAACACCCCATGCATGAACACCCCATGCACGAACCTCCGCATGCATGAACACCCCATGCATGAACACCCCATGCATGAACACCCCATGCATGAACACCCCATGCATGAACACCCCATGCATGAACACCGCATGCATGAACACCCCATGCATGAACACCGCATGCATGAACACCGCATGCATGAACACCGCCCCATGCATGGACACCACCGCATGCATGAAAGCAGCTTCCCAGGATCCGGCAGGCAGCAGTGGTGATAGTGGTGGCGGGCATGGATGGCGCTCTGCCAAGTGTCATCTCGGGACTGGTGGACATGCCAGTCATTGCCGTGCCCACCAGGTGCGACATGCCAGCATGCACCTCGTCTCAGCATGCACCTCGTCTCAGCATGCACCTCGTCTCAGCATGCACCTCGTCTCGGCATGCACCTCGTCTCGGCATGCATGCGTGTGGAGAATGTTAGCACCTCGCACCCCTCGTGCGTTCCCCCTCTCACTCACTGCATTCTCTTTGCCTCTAACTCCCTGCATTCACCTTCCCCCTCGCTGCCTGTTTTCCCACTCGCACTCGCTCCCAGCATTCCCTTTCTCTCACTCCGTGCGTCCCCACTCTCTCACTCCCTGCATTCTCACTCCCTGAAATCTGCTTTTCTTCACGCTTTTTACTCCCACTTCTCATACTCTGCATTCCCCCTGTATCTCACGCCAACCAGTGTGGGGTACGGAGCATCATTTGGCGGCGTGGCAGCGCTGCTGGCAGCGCTCAATGCGTGTGCACCGGGTGTCACCGTTGTGAACATTGACAATGGCTTTGGTGCCGCTGCTGCGGCTGCACGCATTCTTCTAAGGAGTCAATCGTGACCAGTAATGTAGACAACCGCTCCTAGCTCATGAACCAATTGAGCAAACATTTCACAATTTCCTTCCACTTCCCACAGAGTGCCATCAGGTTCTTTGGGTACCCAACTTTCACATATTGCCCGTCAGAAAGAATGCCCTGAATATAGGTCCGGATAAAAGCCTCACTTACTGCCCCTTCCTTCCTGGTATAACCAAAGCTGTAGCGCTTGCGGCGACCAGTCCATTCAATGGTGAGGTTCCGATAGGAATTTGGGTCATCTCTAAGTTCAGTACTGACGCGGGAAGTTCCGCTAGCAGCAGCTGGTTTCGCTCCTTAAGACCGGATGTTCCATACGATTACGCGAGTTATGGCGTAAGTACTCTGTGTAGCGGTCCTTGTTTGGCTGAGAAAAGCCCTTAGGATCTTTTCAAGGCTAAGACTCAGGTAGGGATCTTGTTGTAATTGCGGAAGCGTTTAATGACAAGTGTTGAACCACCTTGCGCTAGTATGTGAGAGCAAGATGGATTGATTATAGAAAGTAGAACAAGCTTTTTATAAGATTACAAGGAATATGAAGGATGCAATAACTGTTTTTACTGTTGCTGTTGCGGTTCGATACAGTGACGACTCGGGCAACTGCTCAACATCGAGTCAGGCGATTGTCCTTGCTATCGCACCGTATTTGTCGAGTCAAAGGTCGCTGACCTTTGACCTTCGCGTAACCTCCGGCTGTTACTTTTCTGCCAACTTCCGGTTGACTCGCCATTGCTGCGCTGTAGTTTGTCTCGTTTACAGTATGATGTTATTGTGAGAGGTCCACTGGAGTGTCAAATGATATATGTATGTTATATATTGGTAGGCTGTAGTGGGGTAGATGTTATGGGGTATAATACTTTAGGGTTTTCCTTCTTGTAAGAACTCTCTTGATAGTTCAAGCAACCTTGCCTTGCCTAGCTACTATTACATGGCATCTAGAGCAGGTTCTTAGGACCTAAGAACTAAGTTAGGGCCCACCCATACCTCACCTACGGCCTGCCTTGCCTGCTGCCCGCGCGCGCCTCGGCTGCGCGCGCACGTCTCTTTTTTTTAGCGCGCGCTGCTGCTGTCTGTCGCGTCGCGCCCCGTCCGTCGCCCGCGCAGCCCGCCCTGAGCCCGCGCAGCCCGCGCGCGGCCCGTCCCTGCCTCGCGCAGCCCGCTAAGGCCCCGCGCAGCCCGTCTGCAGCCCGCGCGTCGCGTCCGTCGCTCGCGCGCAGCCCGTTTAGGCCCCGCGCGTCGCGTTCGCTGCCTGCGCGGCCTGCTCCAGAGCTGCGCGCTGCACCTACCGTCCACGCGCAGCCCGCCTAGGCCCTGCACGTCGCGTTCGCCTCTCGTACAGCGCATTGCTGCCCCGTGCATTGCGTCCGCCTGTACCTGCCGCCAGGGTTTAGGGTTTACCCTGTCTTTTTCTTGCCTGCCTTGCGCCTCTACCGTCTGCCTGCCTACCTGCCTTGAGCACGTGTCAGCCTTAAGCACCTGCCTGCTACAGTTGCCTGCTGCCTGAGCCTGCAGCCTTTGTCTGCTGCCTGAGACTGCTACTTTTGCCTGCGCTGCTGTTCTCGCCTTTGAGCCTGACGGCCGCCCCATCGAGTTTGACACCTGGCTTAGTGATCTGCGGCTTTACCTTATGACTGACGTCGCAGACAGAGCATCACTGCTAGACTATGTGACTGGCACTGTCCCTACTCCCGCTGAGAATGCTCCTGCCCCTGAACGAGCACAGTGGGAGCTCCGCGATGCAGTCGCGCGCCTTGCTATTCGCAATCACCTACCGATCTCTGAGCGCGCGCATTTCAACCAGCTTAAGACTGCTAAGACGCTGTATGATGCTGTCGTTGCCCGCTATTCCGCCCCGGCCACAGCCACCGTTGGTAGTCTCATCCTGCCTTACCTGTTCCCAGACTTAGCCTCGTTTCACACTGCTGCCGACCTTATCACTCACCTCCGCGCTAGTGACGCCCGCTTTCGTGCCGCTCTTACCGACGAGTTCCTCGCCACGAACACCCCCCCGCTGTACTTTACCCTCTACATCCTCGTCACCCGCCTCCCTGACACTCTTCGTTCTGTCAGGGATCACTTCCTTGCCAAGGATCCTACCACTATCACTCTGGACGACTTCGCGCAGCAGCTAGTCGCAGCAGAGAAGAACATCCTCGCTGTCGGTGCTGCTCGTGGTGCTCCCCCTCCCCTCTTGACCCCTCCTACGCCTCTGCTGCTACTGCTGTCGACTTCCTCGGTGCGGAGAAGGTCGCAGCGGCTTCCGCTCCTGGTGGGAAGCGCGGCAAGGGTGGCAGGGGTGGCGGAGGTGGCGGTGGAGGGAGCGGTGGTGGAGGCGGCGGGGGTGGTGGAGGTGGTGGGGGTGGACGTGGGGGTGGAGGCGGTGGGTGGAGTGGCGGCAGGATCGGGGGCGGTGCAGGCGGCAGCGGAGGTGGTGGGGGAGGAGGCAGCGGCAGTGGCGGTGGAGGTGGGAGTGGGGGTGGATCTGGCCAGAAGGGTGGCCCCACTGGTGGCCAGCAGCAGCAGCAGCAGCAGCAGCAGCAGCAGCCACAGCAGCAGCAGCAGCGTCCTCCCCTCACCTCCCAGCAGCTCAATGACTGGTATGCTGGGCGTGGGGCGTCTCGGGGTTCTGACCGCTGCCCCTATGTCATTCGTACTGGCCCCCGCAAGGGTCGCACCTGCGACGGTTTTCACACTGAGTACCGCTGTTTCGCTAGGCTTAGTGACGCCTGGCGCGCCAAGTATCCTGATGCTACTGAGTTCCCCAACTGGGCCGAGCTGCTTAGGCGTGATGTGCCTATCTTTGATCTGGACTATGATGTTATTCTTGCTGCCATGTATGCATTGACTGTTAGTGCTGAGGGTGACTGCTACTTGTGTGTGCCGCCTGACCCTGGTATTGACCCCGGTATAAGGGCTGCAGCCCTAGGTGCTAGTGAGTCTGCTCCCCTCGATACTGCGTCGGCTCAGGCCTTGCACACGTTTACACTTGACTCTGGTGCTTCCCGCTGTTTCTTTCGCGATAGCACCACCGTCACTCCCCTCCCTGCACCTGTCCCTGTCTCACTGGCTGACCCCTCTGGGGGCCCAGTGCTTGCACGAGCCACGACTGTGCTCCCGTGCCCGGCGGTCCCGTCTGGTGAGCTGTCAGGTCTCCACGTTCCCTCGTTCTCTACGAACCTGGTGAGCAACGCCGTCCTCCAGGATCACTGGGTTGACACCTGGACTCCTGGAGGGCAGCGTGTGGCGATCTGCACGTGCTCCAAGACTGGCCGCCACCTGGCCACGTTCACTCGTGAGCCGGGGTCCAGTCTGTACACCCTCACCACTGTTTCACGCTACACTCCTTTGTCTCCTCAGCTGTACGCGTCTGCTCAGGTAGCTACCCAGTGTGAGTGCCGCCGCCTGTCGCACGACACGCTCCTGTGGCACCACCGCCTTGGTCACCCCTCCCTGCCTCGCCTTCGTAGCATGCACTCTCGCTCCCTAGTCTCTGGGCTTCCCAGGTCTCTGCCTGCCCTCCCTCCCTCGCCTGCGCCGCCCTGTATTCCCTGCATAGAGGGGCGGCAGTGCGCCGCTCCTCACTCCTCCTCGTTTCCTCCCACAGAGGCTCCGTTGCAGACGCTCCACCTGGATGTGTGGGGCCCAGCCCGCGTCCAGGGACAGGGCCGTGAGCGGTACTTTTTGCTGGTTGTCGACGACTACACGCGTTACACCACGGTCTTCCCCTTGCGCAGCAAGGGGGACGTCCCTGCTGTTTTGATCCCCTGGATCCGCGCTGTTTGTCTCCAGCTCCGCGAGCGGTTCGAGCGGGACTTTCCTGTCCTGCGTCTGCACTCTGACAGAGGTGGTGAGTTCTCCTCCGACCTCTTGGCAGCCTTCTGTGCGGAGCACGGTATCACCTTGTCGTTCACGCTTCCAGCCTCTCCGCAGCAGAATGGGGTTGCTGAGCGCCGCATTGGCTTAGTCATGGAGGTCGCTCGTACCTCCATGATCCATGCGGCGGCTCCCCATTTCCTGTGGCCGTTTGCGGTCCGGTACGCCGCGCATCAGCTCAACCTCTGGCCCCGTGTCTCCTTGCCGGAGACCTCGCCCACGCTGCTGTGGACGGGGGAGGTTGGCGATGCGTCGCGTTTTCGGGTCTGGGGTGCTCGTGCCTTTGTCCGCGATCTCACCGCGGACAAGCTCTCTGCTCGCGCCATTCCCTGCGTCTTCCTTGGTTTTCCTCCTGACGCGCCCGACTGGCAGTTTTACGACCCCACCTCGCGCTGTGTCTTTGCGTCTCAGGACGTCACCTTTGACGAGTCTGTTCCCTTCTACCGTCTCTTTCCCTACCGCACTGCCTTTCCCCCCCCCCCCCCCGGCCGCTCTTTCTCGCTTCGGGTCCTCCCCAGGTAGACCCCCTCCCCGCGCCAGGTCCTGCTCCTTCAGGTGTTTCTCAGGTAGACCCTCCGGTACCTGCGCCTGTTGAGGTCACTGGTGACTCAGGTCCTGCTGGAGGTGGTCCTGCTCGGGGTGCTGTCTCTGGGGGTGCTGAGCCGGGGGGTGCGGAGCCTGAGACAGAGGCGCCTGGAGGTGCTGAGCCTGGGGGTGCGGAGTCTGGGGGTGCTGTGCCTGCGCGTGAGGAGCCTGGAGGTGCTGAGCTTGGGGGTGTCGAGTCTGAGGGTGCGGAGCCTGAGCGTGAGGAGCCTGGAGGTGCTGAGCTTGGGGGTGCAGAGTCTGAGGGTACTGAGCACTGGAGGTGCTGGCGCTGGAGGTTCTGGAGCAGTTGGGGGTGCTGGCGCTGAGGGTTCTGAGTCTGCTGTTGCGCGGTCTCCTTGGAGTAGCTGCCTTCGTCCACGTGTGCCTCTCACCTCACAGCAGCTGCACGACTGGTACGGTCGCCGTCAGGGTCGCGCTGCTGGAGCCCGGGGCTCTGCTGCTGGAGGTACTTCTGCTGACGTCCCTGGAGCTAGGAGTGGTGCTGGTACTGTTTCTACTGGAGGTG